GTCTCTAAAGACGGCTAAACCCGAATAACTCTAGTTCTAGGTATAGTGTTAGTTCTAGTTTTACACTTGCACTGTCACTAGAACTAACATTAGATTTAGAACTAGAAACATTCGGGTTTAGCCGCACGTCTCTAAAGACGGCTAAACCCGAATGATTCTAGTTCTAGTGTTAGTTCTACATAGTAATAATGCTAGTGTAAAACTAGAACTAACACTAGACCTAGAACTAGAATCATTTTGGTTTAGCTGCACGTCTCTAAAGACGGCTAACCCCGAATGATTCTAGTTCTAGGTATAGTGTTAGTTCTAGTTTTACACTAGCCCTGTCACTAGAACAAACATTAGACCTAGAACTAGAAACATTCGGGTTTAGACATACGTCGCTTAAGACGGCTAAACCCAAATGTTTTTAGTTCTAGATCTAGTGCTAGTTCAACTTCTAGTTCAATAAAAATATACAACAATCTAGCGCTGAATTACAACTAAAACTAAAACTACCGTCCTTAATTTATACATCATATAGACATTGGGGAATTCCCTAACTTTATCTATGAACATTGAATAAAACAACTTGGGGGAATTAACCCGAGTTGGATTCTATCTATAAGCGCTAACATTTATATTTAAATATACTAATGTATTAAATAAACAATATTAATAAAATATTTTGTCCGTTATATCGAGTTTTTACTATAACTTTTTGTTTTTTTGATTACATTCTTTTAATGATATCTTTTTTTTAAGGTGTAATAACTCAGTAAATCAAGTACAACAACTTTTATTGTGTATGCCTGCATTAAGGCAAGCAGATCATGTGATTAGAAAGTTTTGGTCGAATGTGCATCAGCAAGAATCGTCGGTGCCCATGAATAAGCTCTTTTTGGAAATGCTAGAGGCTTATAGTCGGTAGCCTTAGTGATGAAGTGGGAAAATATGACGTCGTTAAGTGTCGTTATGTGGAATGGAAGTTTTTATTTTTTTTAGGAACCAGTGATAGATATCTTAGAATTCCTCTCATTTACTTTATTTGTATATAAGCCGAATTAAGTAGATACGTACGAGAAGATGTTTTATTAATTAAGTTGCTTCTTCAACTTATTTCGTTTTGTTAGTGCGTAATCGACGTGCATTTTTATTTGACTATATTGTTGTTCTATACCTCATTTTCTCTTTATATTTATGATTCAGTTGATTTAGTTTTTATTTTCAGCCTTTATATAAATTTACCCCCTATCCTTTGCTTTTTAACCTGTTGTTTCTAATATTTTGATGACGATGGACAAAGAAATGTGATGGTAGCAGAAGAAACCACGTTGTTCTCTGCTTGTGTTAATATTTTTGCCATTATATTATTGTATGTTGATATACGAAAAGAAGGAACATGATACGTTATAATAAGATTAATTTTATCAGTACGTAAAATAAGGTATGAATAGAAAAAAAGAAAATTGTAATTTTTACCGAAGCCAGTAGTTTTTTGAAGCACAATGATGTACTTACAACAAATCTCATATATCTCGGTTTTAAGATATTTTATCATTTGTACGAGTACGATTTTATTAAAGATTAAAGAAACGAAAAGGTCTAAAATTTTACACGTTCATGTTGTAGAAATATTGTTGTTTAAAAATAAAATTATAAAACAAAATAAAACTTTCAGTCTGTTTTTAATTTTTTCAACACAACCATTAAATTATAATTACACATAAAATTTAACTGAACACCAAATCCTGAGAGTAAACAAAGTACCTACTTACATATTTACATACAAAACGAAATTTCAAATCCTAACTAAATTATAAAAAAAAGTACGATCGTCACATAAACCTCCGATTACGTCTCATTTCCGGATTGGTACAACAAAAACTTTTCGGATCTCCATAAACACCATCTTTAGATCCCATTGGATTTGAAGAAGTATTCGCAAAACTCGTACCACATATCGAGTTAAATTGCGGTTGCTGGCCCATATTGTGTGGACAATTTGGACGATTACAAGGACACACAAGTTGTGCGCTTGTTCCTGGTATAGCTCGAGGAGGTGTTCCTAAATTTCTTTGGGCTGCTTGAGTTGAGTTTGGCGATAAAAGTGATCTTACTGGTGTTACATTTACATGAATTACTGGTTGTACAAAAAGGCTGTATACTAAAATAAAAAAAGTTTGTTAATTCATTGTTTACATAGAATTTCTTTATCATAGATACACATAACTCTATTTTGATATAGTGCGAAATTTCAACAACTTGAAACTAAAATATTTTGAGTTTTTCATATTTATCCTATTAAAGATTTGGTGAAATTTGGAAATATTCTTAGTTTTTAAAGAGTTTCAACCCAAATTTGTACAATACTAGTTTTGAGTCAAAAATCCAGTTGTACCGTTTTGCTTTTTACTCCTTCAATTTCTATATTTCCACTGAAACTCTTAACATTGAGTCACAACACATTGTTTAGGCCGGTATTACATTATCATAGTTCTACCATCATATATTTTTGATGAAAAATATTACAGTGTAATGTAATAGTTCAAATATCATCATGTGTCTATGACCATATGTTCTCGCCAGCAGAACATATAATATCTGGAACCAAAATGTTGTCTGACAAGTTTTAGTGGACTAAATTATTAATTTCCGAGTATGAAGCGAATGAAATGTTCAATGTCAACAGTAATGACCATTTGTCAATTGATTGCTGATGTAAAGAACAGATGTAAGGAAGAAAATCAATGGATTAAGATAAGAACAAAGGACTAAGATTCACCAGTTGCTAAGAATCTAAGTGTAATGAATACATGAATATTTTTCTGTGAAACCAACTTATATATACTATGTGTCAAAAAATAGCAACACTTCGAAAAAGATGAGTCACCAAGCTGGAATCTTAACAAAACAATTTGATGNAAGATGGCGAATTTTGAAGTAGGTACTCCGTTTCGTGAAATTGGTTAAAGATTGAATCGAAATCCTTCAACAGTGCTTCCAGCATGGACTGCGTGGCCTGAAAAACATAACCAACATCGTCGTCCTGAAAGCGGACGTCATCGAGCGACTAACAAACGTAAAGACAAATAAGTTTTAGAGATAAATTTCGTTCTTCGGCTGCTAGTATTGGTATTGACTAGATGAGAGATCTGAATTTCATCATATTATCATTCTAATAATCAAGTATCTAAGTATCATTCTAGATATTCATATAGTATTCACGATATTTATATATGATATAGTGAGAATAGCTAGACTTCCAAGTCGCAATCAACCATAAGTAAGAAATGGTGGATTTTGCTACGTAGGGCTACGAATGCAGAAAGAACAGAAAAGCCAAGAAGTGTTGCAGTTCTTGTACACTATCTATTTATCCACTCGTACTTGCCCTAATTGCTTAGGTTCACCTGTCGCTCAGAAATTAATGCTGTTTCAAGTGCAAACTACAAATTTAAAGACATACTCAAGAGCTGATAACATAAGTACTACAAAAAAACTGCTAAATGCTTTTGCTCTTGTAAGCTGGAATAGCTCCAGCCTATAAGCAATCATTATCAATATTCCGATTTCGCTATTTTCGTCACGAACATAAATCTCCTGCGTATGTTGTGGTTTCAGATTTTATAAATGCGTTAATATCGCACATTTTACATAGACATACCAAAAAGTTCTTTAAGAACTATGATAAAAATAGATATGTTGATTTTATATGCTCCTTTTTGACAATTGTTTGTATTGTTAGCAGCTTTCATGTACATTTTTCTGAAATAAACGATTGAATTATATTTAGAACCTTAATGGCAAGAAACTTAAAACATTAATTTTATGATTCTGCAGATTCGGGTTTGATTTCATGACCGGCGATATAATTGAACTGGAAGTGTGCTCCTTTTTGAGTACCTCATTAAGTTACAGCCATTGCTGCAACGTATGCGAATGGGCGGGTAATTTATTGAACTATGTAATTTGTGCCACGACAGATGCATTTACATTTTGATCATCAACTTGGAATGACTCTTTTGAAGAACTATCATTCGTTGCAATAGACACTGCGTGCCAAATAAATTGCAACACCTCGAAAAACATGAGTCACCAAGCTAGAATTGATGTTAACTGGATGAGAGATCTGAGACAGATAGTGGCGCCTCAAACGCCATAAAAGATTCTATGGTGCCAAGAAAGACAAAGTTGGAGTGCCATATCGTTGAAGTATAGTCAACTTTAGTTGTGATCCCCGACAGTTTAATTGCACACCGATACAACATCCACATCCATTTGTAACACCCGACATCATGTCCCAGCAGGATAACACCCAACCTCATATCGCCCGCATCTGTCAGAACTTCCCACATGAAGAAAGAGTAGAAATTCTCCAATGGCCTGATCGCTTTCCGGAATCAAACCCGATCAAGCATGTGTGGGATATGATGGGACGCTATATAAGGCGTTTATCACAAGTAAACATCTTGCAATAACTTCGTCGTCATCTACAGCAAGTCTGGGATGAGATTCCACAAGATATTATTGATCATCTCATTCATAGCATGTCTCGTAGAGTTAGACAGTGTATAAACAATCGTGGGGATTTTATTGACATAAATTGTTGGTATTTTTACTACTGAAATATATACAAATTACTTGTAATTCAGCTTTGTGGCTCAGCTCTTTGGATGTGTTGCAATTTTTTGGCACGTAGTTTACTTTAGACCCCAAGAAACAAAAGCTCTTCTCATCCATTCTTAAACAGTTCTTGTAATGTTTTGGGTTATCACTTTTCAGTTCTTTCAATAAATGATTTTCAAATTATTTCAATCTGCTACCAAAGGCTCTCGTTTTTAGACTTTTTCGCCTTTTTACGTTGCTTTTTCAACAATAAACATATTGTAAATATTGATCTCAAACAGCCATCAAAAGCCAAAAAGTATCGTTTATCCGTTTTGTATAATAATATGATTAAATATATTACATAGAGCAAATCCACAACATATTTTCTCATTAAACTTTATATTACACTCTTCCTGAAGAATTAACATAAACGTTTCAAAAACACAATTTCTAATACCATTCCATAGAATAACAGATAATTCTCCAACAGTATACATCAGACTAACGCAAATCAGTCCTTCAGCGAACATCAAATACCTGGGTATAATCTTTGACAGCAAAGTAAAGTTCCACATACACACAAAAAAGGCTAAAATGAAAGCAATCACCAGAGCAAAGCTGTTTAGAAGTTTAACCTACAAGAAAGAAGACATTAACATCAAATGCGCTGCGCATATTTATAAGACTATTTGTAGACCAATTTTAGAGTATGCAAGCCTATTGATCTATGATAGCAAGCGATGCACACTAAGAAGTTTGGAAGTTGGTGAAAGAACAAGTCGAAAATGAGAATCCATTGCACAACATTGCAAATGCAACGCTATATAAAAACCGAAATACGCCTTTGACGGAGCGACTTCTAATTTTAGCAAACAAATCTAGGAGCAAGATGGCTGAAGAAATATCACCCCTATTTATACAATCAGAATTCGACACTATTTACAAAAGGATTGTGACAGAATAACAATATGTGGCTGATAAAATTTTAATTATTGAGATGGGGCGAAAGGACTATGGCCGATAGCCCTTTTTAGACTTAATATAGAATGTACATTATGTTATTGTTTATGTTATATATTGCTTTTAATTGTCTAAAATAAATCCATTGTCTCTCTCGTTATATTACAAATATTTGAAAATAGATCTATGACATAGAACTATGATAGTGCAGAAATTCCTAAAAACAGGTCTTAACATTTTATGCAAGGTAAGTAAGTATGTTGTAAGATGTTAAATTTCGCACATTTCATATTTGATTATTCTTGGTTCAAGTATACCCAAAATACTTAGTATCTTAAATAAAAAAAAATGTTTTCTTACCATAGAAAGTACCAATAAAAATGATTAACATTGAAATTACAATGATTATAACATGTCGATATTTGTATAAAATGGAAACCAATGGTGATTTCCCCCTACCAAAGTCTTGTCCAGTAAACTGTTCAGGATTCAATACTTTGACATTAACCTTAACACTTTCATCAGTTAATTGTGAAAATACTTTCACTAAAAGCGGCTCGACGTATTCGTTTAATTTCCAATGATAATCGACTAATTTTACTTTGTACTTTATGGTTTGCTTGTCAACTTTTTCAGCCTTAGAAATTTCTAATAAATTCGGATCGAATGGTGATACCTAAAAAATAACAAAAAAAAAAAAAACATTAAATAAAATAATAAAAATTAAATAATTGAGTTACTTTAATTTTTGCCAAAGCACGTTCAGTCCCAACAATAGTCAATTCGGCAGTGAAATGTTGCGCATCCAAATGTATATCTCTTTCCATATAAACTGAAGGAAGAAATTCTATTTCTAAAGGTTCTGATGCTATATTAGTAGTCCTCGCTCTTGCAGTTAATAAAATATCGGTTTCTAAAGTACTTGTCGCTGGATCTTGTATGCCAGTTGGACTAATAACACAACAATACATTCCAGTTCTTGTATTAAATATTGTTTCGACTCGGAAAATACTACTTATCTCCATTTGTATATCACGGTTACTAAATTCTATTTCACATTCAAAAGGGTATTCTTTTATGATAGAAGAAACGTCAAGTTCGCCGCAACTCGCAGCATTTAACAAATTAGATTTTCGGTTTGTTCCTTCGCCACCAACAATAACTGGAATTTCTAATGGCCTATTATTGGCGGAGTTTGATATAGTTGGTTTCTCATCAGATACACACACTAAACTGTTAACTGGTACGATTTGCATTTGTAATGGTGCGACTGGATGTAAGTTATGTGTTAAATATATTTTTCCACTATTACGTGTAGGAACAACCGCTCCAACTCCAGTTTCACTATCGATAGAAAAAAGTTGTTCATCACTTGAAGTCCACACTCCTGGTGCTGCTGCATTCACTGGAGTCCACATGCAAACAATATCTCCAACAACCAAACTGGTCACGCGAGGAACAATAGCTTGGCCAACATGTAATTTGATATAATCAGCAGATTTTTGAATACCTTCGGCAGAAACTTTTAAAATTGTTATACCAGGTTTGACTATAGAAACAAGTAAAGTAGCGTTATCTCCTCCCAATTTAACTGTTGTTAAATCGGGTCGTGAATTTCTTATGCGTAACTTAGCTGTACCGGCACTAAATCCATTTCCAGTGTTATCATGGTATGTAGCTCTTAATTGAAATTCGGTTCCTAACGGTACTATGTTATTAAATTCACTTGTTTGCATTGTCCAGTCAGCTATTACACTTAATCTCATAAAAACGATCGGTTTAACTTCAACAATAAGAGATAACGTTTGTTTTAAACCATGATTATCAATAGATGTAATCAGAACCATTGCATAACCTAATTGATCTTCTGATTTAAGCATTCCTTGCGATGTTACAGTAACAATACTTTGATCATCACCAATCAATTTATAAGAACATCTTGAGTTTGAATCTGCGTTAGTCATCAATTGAATACTAGAATTAGGTGCCATTAAAAGCGCTTTTCCAGAAAATCCCGGCGGTGACATCAAAGCTAATTCTTCAAAAACATCAAAGTCCATAGTTTCCGTAAAAGTCACCGTTTTCATTTTAGATTGAACAACATTTCCAGGAACCGTTACATTTAATGTTAATTTTGTTTTTCCTGGTCTCAATCCTCTAATTCTAATCGAAATTAAATCTCCAGCATCATAAGTAATTCCAAGCGGTTCAAAAACGCTAACTATTCGAATAATATCGGGATCTTCAACGAACCATTCGTAAATATAATCCGGACTAGCGGTTCCAAGAATCATAGGGGTAATTTGTTCGGGAATTCCAGAAACCCAAATTGGAACTTCACTTTTTAATCGAAATCTGGTTAAGGCAGCTTTGATTTGAAATCCTTGTATTGGAATTACGTGAACTTCCGCGGTATCTTGCGCGTATATAACTTTTTCCCCGCTTGATGGATCAACACCAACACACATTCCAGTTACTTTTGTAGATCCTAAATGTAATGCGCTTAAAATTCCGCTTGAAGTTACCTCGCCAATTTTAGTCTCTTCTAATGTAAACTCCATTGTTGGTGTTGTACCTGGACCGCCATCATGCATTATTTGCACGTTTGTACCTATTATGGTGGTTAAATTTTTTGGTAGAAGTTTAAGATGATCAAATATTTGTAAGTCTATTACAGAACTTTCAATTGGAATTACTGAAGTTGATATACTAAATTTGATTTTTGTATTGCCCACTTTTTCACCTTGAATTGTGTATTTAATATTACCATCAGGCCAAGGATCAAGAATATCTGGTGTTAATCGATTAAAATTCGCTAAATCAGGATCTTGATCGATATGAATTCCAATCATATCGACCGGTACTTTTAATAGATTATCAGAACTGTCGTATAACTTGACAGTACATGGTATAAATTTGGATAATTCTACTTTATCAGCTACATCGACTCGAATCATCGAAACTGAAACTACGTGAACATTTACAACTGGAGGTGTTCCAGCTAAACACAAATCGTGCAATTCAATTTTTAATTCTCCATCATTCCTTGGTGTTATCTCCAATTGTCGTTTATGACTCAAATAAACCACATCAGCAACATCAGGAGTACTAAGAACCATTTCATAATAACCAGATCCATAATTAACACTAACAGTTGCAGTACTTGATGGATGATTGTACAAAGTAACGTCGGTGGGAACAACTTGAGTATCATCTACTAGTAGTAAAGAAACAGATGTTTCAATAGGTGGCAATTCCGCATCTTTTTCACTATCATCCAAAAATTCTGGCCATTCTGGGGTAACTTTAACTTTAGCCAACATTATTTTGTCATATCCAACAACTTTAGCATTAACCACAATGGTTCCAGAAGTAGTTTTCGGTGTAACAATTTGATAGCTTTTATTACCAAAGTTTAAAGTACCGTTAAAAATATCCCTAGGAATTACAGAATCCATTGAATGTAAAACGGCAAATTCCGGAGGATCAGCCGACCACTCAAAGCGCAAAGTTGTAATATTTAAAAATCTTAAACCATTTTCATTCATAACGGCTATATCCAATTCAGTATCATGATCGCTTTGGATTAAAGCTTTATCAGCACTTAAATCCATTGGACACGAGTGAACGTTGTCGGTATTTAATTCAGGTTGAATCTTCAACGTACGAGGTTTACCACAAATTATCAATACATCCATTTGGCAATCAATACTATGAGTGTTAACAACAGTAGGAGCGTCGAAAATAGTAAGATTCACCATTGATTCACCTAAAGCTTTACAAAATACGCCAACAACTGTAAACTCTTCTTCGCTTGGTGGTAACTCCATTTTTTCAGTTATATCCGCCGCTTCGACAATATCTGAATTTTCAGTAATGATACCTTTTAAATATTGGATTTCTCTGCCATGCATCATTGCTGGCCCGCCAGTAAAAATCAATTGAATTGTAGTTCCAACCGCTAAAACTATCGGAGTTTCCGGAAAAATCATTGTAAGCGGTTTATATGTGCTTACAACGACTGAATCTTGAAGATATTTCCCACCAATATTATAAGACACACTTATTTTTGATGAACCAACTACCGAACTATTCACAGCAAAATTAGCGCATGATACACCGATCGTTTCCATCGTCTTGTTTGTATCAATTAAAAAATGAGGATCAGCACTATCTATTTTAAATGGTAAATCTTGACAATTAGTGAATGGTATTTGAACTGGATTGTTATCTGCATCCGGTTTTTCACCATAAATCGCGATGTGGATGTAAATGTTTGTATCTATTTCAGCTTCTGTTATGTATTCAATTATTTCAAGTTTTGTAGGTGGAACAATATAAAATCTAAACACAGAAAATATTAATTAATACATTATTAAACATTTGTTTACAAATAATATTGTGATATAATGGTTATGGTGTTGCTACAACTTAATTTAAGGGGGGAAATACATTTAGAAACTAGAAAAAAATCTTTTCATAAGATTGTTAAGGGTTTCTCTCAAAATATTCAAATATGTACCATTTAAAATAAAAAAAAAATATTCTATAATATAATTACTTTGCACTTTCTCGATTATTTGGATTTATTTGCATAACAGCAGATACTTCAAAAAACCCATCTGCGTGAGTTTTAACCATACCATTTTGGGTAACAACAGCTATAGAATTATTTGAGCACACCCATAAGTATTTACCATCACCACCACGTGCAGTCAAAGGAACTTGATATCTAAAAATGATATAAGCTGTAAAAAAAACGAAAATATATCTTACAATATTTTATTACCTTGGTTGTGCAACTGGATCCCAAGGAAGAACAACATCAGATGGGTTAATAATAATGCTAGGAAAAATTTTCATTTCTTGTTTAGTACTAATAGGGCCAATCTCCTTCCTTCCCAATTTGTCATTAACAATTGCATCTAACGTGGCAACAACGGTAGATCTACCAGGGGCTTGACCCCATCCAAATAACCATGTACCATTTGGTGATCTTTCCACCAATTGAAATTTTTCGTCAAGTTGTATTTGTAGTTCAACACCTGGTCCAAGATCAAGTTTGTGATCAGTGCTGTAATAAAAAAATAATTAAAAAAATGTTTTTTTAATAAATTCAATAAATACCTTGAATAAACCTCTGCCAATAAAACATGTGGAAAATTCATTAAAATCGCCCAATTTCTAAACGGAAGTATGCTAAGTTTTATATAAGATGGCATGCAGACATTAATAAACGCTGATGGTAGTTTCTGTTGTTCTATATCTTCAGCGGTACTATCACGAAGTTTTACTTTTGTACGACCTTCTGCTAAACCAGTTACTTCTCCTAAAAAAAAAAACATTTAGAAATTGCTACTTTATAATATGGACTCGGCATACTAGACTATTTTAAGTAATCACTTTCTATGCATAAATGGTATTTGAAGTTTTAAACGCCTTTTTCTCAAAACTAGCTTAATGGCTTCAAAGATATCTCGAAAACTACTTTTATGGTCTACTCTATTTGCATTTATCAGTACTAATTGTATAGTGTGTTTGATTTTAGGTGTTATAACAGATATTTCGATTACTGTTGGAAATGTGATAAAATAATGTAGAAGGAATCTTGCTCCACACTAAATACTCTATTACCTGCCATATTCAAAAACACAATTGAGCATCAAATTTGCAACCTTAGGAATCGTGAAAGCTACCTTTTTTTCATACAAGAGTGTATTCAGTGTTAAATGAATTCAACTCGTTATTGTTGTTTGAAAAGATATTGAAAAATGACAAAAATATCATCAAGTAATAATACTTTCTTAATAAAAAATACAAAAATTTATTCTCTGTAATAAAAAATATAAAAATAAACAAAAACAGTACAAAAACTATGCAAGAGCCAAACAAACACGGACAGTAAACAAAATTTAGAAAACGTAGTTATATTTTTAATAACTAATACTTAGTATGGAGGTTTTTGTTTTTTATAATCATTTTAAGCCGGTTAGGCATTGACTGTATAATTTTTAGCATAAAGTGGGTGGAATTTTCTCCTATTCTTAAAACAAGGCGCTCTTCAATTCAGATTTACTAGAAACTTTATGTTCTCAAACTTTGGTATCTAAATAATTCCATAAATTTTCAATGGGATTTATGTCAGCAGCTGAAAATGACCCTCACACCTTCACAGATCCGCCACCATGTTTCTGTTGGTCTTTAATTTGTTAAATGCAGCTTCTCACTTTTTTTTCCATACATATGGCTTACCAGCTGACTCAAAAATGTTATGTTTACTTTAATTAGTAAATAGAACAGTTTGCCAAAAAGAAAAATCTCTAGTTTCGTGCTTTTTCGCAAATATGAATCTGATGTTTTGATTCTTTTTACTGATAAAATTTAACTTGATTTTTCTTCTCGCCTTTCTACCATATCAATTAGCACTATAGAGCATGTTTCTGATGGTTCATTCTCGCAATAATATCTAGCTTTGGTGCGCTAAGAAATGAATCTGCTTTCATTTTTCTTATTAAATACCGTTCATCCGATTCAGTAAAATTTTTATTATGAGTGCTCTTTGGCTTTTGCTATTGTGGATACTGAAGCGCTTTGTTATCTGCAATTTTTGCAATTTCTCGTACCGATTTTCCTTCCTGGGAATGTTTAAGCACTAATTTTCTAATTTCAATAGTTATTTGACCTCTTTGTCTAGACATTTCGAGTAAAAAGCTAGATTTCCGCGCAAATAATACAAAAAAACACAATTAGGGAATTCCCCTTGTCAACTGTCAAAGCTTTTACATGAAATTGTTTGTAATTTTTACTTATGGTTGCCTTAATTTAGCGCTTAATTGATTATTGTCCGAGTTTGACCTAGTTTTTGTACTGTTTTCGTTTATTTTTATAATTTTTTATCACATTGATTAAATTTTTGTATTTTGTGTATGTTTTTTGAATATGCAATTTATAAATTATTGAAAATCAGTTTACTTATTTTTCCTAGCAGTTTTAGTTTGAATATTTTTAAGTAAGAAAGTATTATTACTCTACTGTCCCAGTTTGGCTTGGAGTCACTGTATATAACAAAGTTCGATCAGTAAAACATGACTTTACCATTTTTTCTCAAATGATTATAAAATAATATTATATTTTAGTCCACTAGAAATTGTGAAGTCTGTAGACTCAGAGCTGGAACATAATATATGTTGTTACAGCTTTCAACTTCTACTTATCTTCATTTTATTGACAAATACACGTTAATAGTCTTAGTTTTGTGAATAAAAAGTGGTATAAATCATTTATACTGGTAGTAAACCAAATTCAAATCATGTTGAATTTGGTTCAACTTTACAACTTTTCATTAGATTTTGATTCTTGAATTTATTACAAACTCTTTTTGTTGTTAATTATTGCAAAACAAGAAAGAAGTGACACATTTTGTCTTTAACTTGTTCATTTAGAAAATTGTTAAGAATTAAATTTAAACCCACCAGTTTTTGGATCTACAGAAGCAATTTCAGGGCTTTCAATATCCATAAAATATTGTGAATCAAGGAGTTCTACTTCTTCCATTTGTCCATTATTATACGTTAATAATCTTATAAGTTGTATCATCAATGTAAGTTGTAATGATATGAGCCCTTAGTATTGTGAATAAAAAGTGCTATAAATCATTTATACTGATAGTAAACATAAACATTGACAAATTCAAATCATGTTAAATTTGGTTCAACTTTACAATTTTTTAGTGACAATATTAAATTATTTTGATTCTAGAATTTATTACAGACTCTTTTTATTGTTAATTATTGCAAAACAAGAAAGAAGAGACACACTTTGTCTTTATCTTGCCCATTTAGAAAATTATTAAAAATTAAATTTAAAACCCACCAGTTTTTGGATCTACAGAAGCAATTTCAGGGCTTTCAATATCCATAAAATATTGTGAATCAGGTAGTTCTACTTCTTCCATTTGTCCATTATTAACCTAAAAATTAATGAATTAATTTTTAGTTAGTAAAATCATAAAAAGAACTTACAGAATATAATTTAAAATAAACTGTGTCAAAAGGCATAACGTGAGCATCTGTTGGCATAATAATAAGATTGGCTATAACGGCCAATATAACTTCAACTTCTTCTAAGTCTGCATAGTCATCGTAAGGTAAAGAAGCTACCAATTTGGCAGCACCAGTCTTAACTCCCCCAACTAAAACAACATCACCCCTTTTATTTTGATCTTCAAATTCCTCAATCCAATCAATGGTATCATATGAAGATTCTCCAAATGGAATAAAGTTTAAGATTGTCACATCTTGATTTGAACCTAAATTAACTATTTTCCAATCGAACTCAACACCCTGTAGACTAGTAAATTGATTCCCTAAAATCAAATTGATTTTTTTACTTATATTTTGTGACTTAATTAGTACATACCTTGGCTATCATAGGCGACAACTTTGAACACTTCTGGTATTTCTTCCAAAATAATTTCCTTTGTGGTTGTTACAATACCCAACTTGTCAATTACATCAACAATAACATCAGCTCTTAAAATTAATTGTGTTTCTACTTCCTCAGCTAGTACAACAGCTACATTGCGCACAGGATCTTTTAATACAGAAGAAATGATGACTTTAGATGAACAATCGAGAGGGCTCGGATCAACGAGTGTCAATAAAATTACATCTGATCTTGATGTACTCCTGTTAATATAAAATTAAGATTATATAAGAAGTATAAAAGAAAATTATATTATTTATATATCTTTAATTGATATTTACCATTTGTAACAACCTCCGGATACAGCTTCTAGTTGAAAAGTTACATCCACATTTTCAAATATTGGTAAAAGAACATGAGGAGCATTTAATTTCGATGTAATAACCGCGTTAGTTAGTAAAACAACTAAGAGTAATTTTCTTAATAAAAACGAAAGCTTTCCAGCCATAATTTTGTCAATAAACCATCACCCATCCGAATTTGTAAAAGTGAGGTTAGAAAAACATGCTGGAGGCGGCTTTGAATTTTTTACCCAATCAGAATTTAGAATTTTTAGTGGATTAGTAACACCAACACAAAAAAAATAAAATATCTAAAATTTGGCTTATTTTATTTTTATATAAAAATAGGAATTAAACACCGACAATTACGTTTTATGTTTATAATATGGTGATTAATCATAAAAATGTTTTAAAAACATTTATAATAAATGTTTATAAAATCGACTTATCGTTAGTTCTTAAAAACTGTCATGTTGCTGTGGATATCAAATGTCAACACAAAAGTCAAAGTAAATTTAAACGGATAATTCAAAAAAATAGGTTTTGTTATATTAAATTAACACAGAAATCATAAAATATTTACTGATGTGGAGGAAATTATGTTTACAATAAAAAATTGTTTACACCCCGGTTTCATTACAAAAGAAAAGTCGAAAAATAACATTTGCGCGGTGCTAAACGAAACGTTTTTTAAATATCCACTCAAAAATTTCTCAACTTAAGAAACGTTAGACTCCGATTAGTTATCACCCCCTTCTTCTGCTTCTTCCTCCTCGTCATATTCGGGTTCTTCTTCGGCAGTCGCATCTTGGTATTGTTGATATTCAGATACTAAATCGTTCATGTTCGATTCAGCCTCAGTAAATTCCATTTCATCCATTCCTTCGCCCGTATACCAATGAAGGAAAGCTTTTCTTCTAAACATTGCTGTAAATTGTTCGGAAACACGTTTGAACAATTCTTGAATACATGTAGAGTTTCCAATAAATGTTGATGACATCTTTAACCCTCTAGGTGGAATGTCACAAACGGCTGTTTTTACATTATTAGGAATCCACTCAACGAAGTAACTGCTGTTTTTATTTTGGATGTTGAGCATTTGCTCATCAACTTCTTTCATTGACATACGACCTCGGAAAATAGCAGCAACAGTGAGATATCTTCCATGACGAGGATCACAAGCTGCCATCATATTCTTAGCATCAAACATTTGAAGAACTAATTCAGGAACAGTTAAAGCTCGATATTGTTGACTTCCTCTGGATGTTAACGGAGCAAATCCAGGCATAAAAAAGTGAAGACGAGGAAAGGGCACCATGTTAACAGCTAATTTTCTTAAGTCCGAATTTAGTTGACCAGGAAATCGTAAGCACGTAGTTACACCGGACATCGTAGCAGACACTAAATGATTCAAATCGCCATATGTAGGTGTTGTTAATTTTAAGGTACGGAAACAGATATCATATAAAGCTTCATTGTCTATGCAATAAGATTCATCAGTATTTTCAACCAATTGATGTACCGATAACGTGGCGTTATAAGGTTCAACCACAGTATCGGAGACTTTTGGCGATGGTACCACTGAAAAAGTATTCATAATCCTATCGGGGTATTCTTCACGTATTTTTGATATTAATAAGGTTCCTAATCCCGAACCAGTACCACCTCCTAAAGAATGTGTCAGTTGAAAACCTTGCATACAATCACATCCTTCCGCTTCTTTCCTGACAACATCCAAAACAGCATCGACAAGTTCAGCTCCTTCAGTGTAATGTCCTTTAGCCCAGTTATTTCCGGCACCGCTTTGGCCAAACACAAAGTTATCAGGTCTAAAAATTTGGCCGAAAGGTCCTGATCGAACTGAATCCATCGTTCCTGGCTCTAAATCAACCAAAACAGCGCGAGGCACGTATTTGCCTCCGGTTGCCTCATTATAGTACACATTAATACGTTCTAATTGAAGGTCTGAATCCCCATGATATGTTCCAGTAGGATCGATGCCGTGCTCGTCAGAAATCACTTCCCAAAACTAAAAAATTTTAAACAAACAAATTGGGGATTTTGAACTGATCTTTATTATCAATTAAACAAACCTTAGCACCAATTTGATTTCCGCATTGTCCGGCTTGTATGTGTACGATTTCCCTCATTATACCGGAATTTTTAATAATTTTTGAACACAACTACCAAAAAAGGAACCAAAAGAGAAAATGGTCTAAAAAATACTAAACAAATTTTGTTTTGTTTTTGATTGATAAATGGTTGTTTCCGTAACTACATTAGGTGACATTGGCCATCTTTATGAAGATGAAAATGTTATTAAAAATCAATTTGATTTAATTGTGAGTATAATGAAGAATTTTTTAAAATTATAATAAAACTTATAACTATTTTTTATTGTTTAATAATTTTATTAGAATAAAATATTGAATTGTCTAAATTTCCTGCAAATATGGGAATCTAAAATTCATAAATATAAACAAAGTGACAACATGAACACATAACTGCTTTGATGGTTCTTTTAGATGAATACATATAACTCAGGGTTTTGAAAAATCGGGAGAAGAAAGATGGAAATTTAGAGTTGGTTAGGCATTATCAAAAATTTCAGTTTTCTCCACTGCTTCCATATGTTTGAGGGTCTAGTGCCATTGTTCTTTCAGATTTTCCTCAGTTAGTCTTGCCAAATAAAAAATCATTTTTCCAAAAATCCAGAAGATTTCTAATATTATTGATTTTAATTTGCCAATTACTTATTGCTCAGAAGAATGCTGTTTTCTTCAATGGAACATTCTCTTATTCGTCGTTATGTAGTTCTCTGGTTCAGTTGAAGACAATATGCCAGATTATTTATTTACAAAAAGCTGTTATACAAAGTCCTAAAAACTCTTAGAGGAAACAAAAAAAAGGATAGTTTGAATAATGGATGATTGATTAGCCAGAAAATGAAACAGGTAAATACTTGCAAAAGACATAGAAGTAATGGAATGATGGAAACAATACTTTCAAGGTTTACATAACGAGAAAGTGACAAAGCAGCAATGATATGAAGACTAGAAAGTACGGCAAGGAGGGTGAATAGAAATAAATGGGCAAAAACATAATAAGAGAGGATAAAGCAGCTGAAGATGGAGAGAATGCCAGGAAAAGATAATATAACAACTAAAATAGCCAAAAATATGGGAGAAGAAGGCGCTCTATTACTAGTATTTGTACTTCTCAGCTTATGTCATCTTTAAAGTCTTCATAGGCAGACAATTCTTAGATGGTATCGGTTTCTGCCTAAATATCGTGGTTCTTCAGTACATTTGGCCATGTTTAGGTATCTACATTTCTGCTTTCTGCTGTTACTTAGATAACTAGCTTATTCCCCAGGAATGTGTAGAGTGGTTTTATTTTATTATTAATGGTGTATGATAACTTTTTGCAACTTGAATCATTTTTATGTTGGTAAATATTGCCTAGCATTTTCTCTTGGTTCTATCTATGTGCTGTTAGAATCACCACACCTCATTTTGCTAAGTATGAGGGATACCTTCAAATCTTATATTCTGTCAAAAACTAATTTGTCTCGTAATCAGTTTAAGTTGCTTGTAATAATTAGTACTATTTAGCAGTCATGGTAGCAATTAGTTGGTTGTATCAAAAAAGTTTATTATTCCAATTCTCAGTTTTATAACAAAATACCAAAATTATTTTGTAATATTTTATTTAACTCGTTCAAAGATGAATATAATTTCAATTACAAATTTAATTACGCACATAATTTACATTACTACAATAATTTCAAATTTAAAATCCCGAGTTTCATTCATAACATTCTCCCCATAAAAGTATCAAGCATCATCAAATTGTAAAATTGACGAAATAAAAATGCCAAGAATACGGCGGACGTTTATCCTCTTGCCAAATAGTGGGGTAAACGAAGACTCATGCAATACAACTTGTAATACATTTGCCAAATTTATCCTAGGCATGAAATTTTACTGTCGTTATAATAAAATTATTCGCCCTCTTCTCCTTCCTCTTCTTCGTAGTCTCCTTCTTCATCGGCGGTTGCCTCTTGGTACTGTTGATATTCAGATACTAAATCGTTCATATTTGATTCGGCTTCAGTAAATTCCATCTCATCCATTCCTTCACCTGTGTACCAATGGAGAAAAGCCTTTCTTCTGAACATAGCCGTAAATTGTTCAGAAATGCGTTTGAATAGTTCTTGAATACATGTTGAATTTCCTATAAAAGTTGACGACATTTTTAGCCCTCTAGGTGGTATGTCACAAACGGCAGTTTTAACATTATTAGGAATCCACTCAACGAAATAACTGCTGTTTTTATTTTGAATGTTAAGCATTTGCTCGTCAACTTCTTTCATGGACATACGTCCACGAAAAATTGCAGCAACGGTGAGATATTTTCCGTGTCGAGGATCGCATGCCGTCATCATATTCTTGGAATCAAACATTTGAAGTACCAATTCAGGAACTGTTAGAGCACGATATTGTTGACAACCTCTTGATGTTAAAGGCGCAAATCCTGGCATGAAAAAGTGAAGACGAGGGAAAGGTACCATATTGACAGCTAATTTTCTTAAATCTGAATTTAGTTGACCCGGAAATCGTAAGCACGTGGTCACCCCCGACAGTGTAGCAGATACTAAATGATTCAAATCACCGTATGTGGGTGTTGTTAATTTTAAAGTGCGGAAACAGATTTCATACAGAGCTTCATTGTCTATGCAATAAGATTCATCTGTATTTTCAACCAATTGATGTACCGATAACGTAGCGTTATAAGGTTCGACCACAACATCTGACACCTTTGGTGATGGAACCACCGAAAATGTATTCATAATCCTATCGGGATATTCTTCACGTATTTTTGAAATTAATAACGTTCCTAAACCCGAACCGGTGCCACCTCCTAAAGAATGCGTCAATTGAAAACCCTGCAAACAATCGCATCCTTCAGCTTCCTTTCTGACCACATCTATAACAGAATCGACTAATTCTGCTCCTTCAGTATAATGCCCTTTAGCCCAGTTATTTCCTGCCCCGCTTTGACCAAACACAAAATTATCCGGCCTAAAGATTTGTCCCACAGGTCCTGAACGAACCGAATCCATCGTTCCCGGTTCTAAATCGACCATAACCGCGCGAGGAACATATTTACCTCCAGTTGCTTCATTAAAATACACGTTAATACGTTCCAATTGAAGATCGCAATCGCCATGATAAGTTCCAGTTGGGTCGATACCGTGTTCATCGGAAATGACTTCCCAAAACTATGTTGAAAAAAAAAGTGTCAAAATGACAAGTTGAAACATTCTGACAAATATTTCATAATTACGATTGAAAAATCTTACCTTAGCCCCAATTTGGTTCCCGCATTGACCGGCTTGAATGTGCACGATTTCCCTCATTTTAACGTAATTTGCAAAGGAATTTTAAAGAATAAATAGTATCAAAAAAGGTAAATTTTCTGACAACCCATCCACCCCATGAAAAACAAACAAATTTTGTTTCCTTGACAATTATATATTTCATATTTGTTTTATTTTTGTATACTCGAGAATTTCATTGGCCATCTTTTGCAATAATATTATATTTATTTTCAATACATACATATTGAGCTGGTTATTCATGGACGTTCTAAATGGAGTGGCGCGAAATCATTCCAATGAAAGGGATCAAAAAGTGAGCAATAATTTTAGGGATCATTCACGAACGTTCCAATCAGTCCATTCCAATCACTTTGTCGCAGTAGTTCGTACTATACTGGTATTTTTTAATTTTCGCAATATGGATGAAAATTTTCTCATGTTATTTACGGCTCTTTCTCTGTACTTAATAAAAACAAAAGCAAAAAGAAGATGGGTTCTAAATAGAAAAAGACGTTCTGACTGGAGGAATTATTTGAGGATGAATGAAGACTGTTATTTCTAATTACTTCGTTTGGTAACGCCGTTAATTCAGAAAAAAAGATACCAATATGAGGAAAGTTTTTGGCCTAAACCGAATCTTCGATTTGATACTATTGATTTGGTTTATTACTTTGTAAATTTAATGCTTAAATTTTATTAAGGATAAACAATAAAAGAAAAAAAAATCTTTTTCGAGACAAAATGAATTTTATTAAAATTCTAGCACATGCAACATTACTTAATTCTATTTACAAATTAAATTCTAAATTCAATTAATTTATAAGTAGTGAACTTCGCAAGACGTTATATTATGTACAAATCCTTACAGTCTGCACGAAACTAGGTCTAAATTTTAGTTGTAATAAATAGTATTTTTTTAAAAACGTTAACTAGATGCACTCGCTTGTCTTAGGGCTGTTTTTCCGGTACAGGAAAGAAAAAGAAACGTTAAAAGTTTTATATAATTGTTAAAAATAATTTAAAAAATGTCTACGATGTTAAGTCTACGTGTTCTTTTTTGATAATAATATCTAATTATAAATTTAGTGAAAATATAATCCCTCTTGTAGAACACCGAACTGTGCAAAGAAAGTATTATTTTATGATTTCTCGAAAATTTTCTAAAAACATTCGTAAATATTTAACGTTTTATTAATTTATAATTTAATCTATAGATAAAAGCGTTCTCTCTTTAAAATTTTCTATATAGAGTTTTTAACACCTGGTCCATAGTTCATATATTTCAAAGAGAAATATTATTTTATAATAATCTAAGAAAGGGATTCAATATAAAAATGGAACAAAGATTTAACAAATAAACAAAATTAGAAACATAAAACACTTTTTTAGCCCGATTTAATGTTATAATATTTGAAAAACGTGGAATTTGGAACGTCCTAATAGTAATATAAAATCCACTTTTATTATTTTTTTTTCTAACAAGTAATAGTAAGTGTTATTGTACTTTTATCTTTTATAATAAGTTCTCTTTTATTTTAGTAAAATGTCGTCTATAACGTCAGGCTTAAAAAGTCGTCTTTGTTTTAGAATTCTCTAAATTGCACTTAATGCGGTAAACATTAAAACTTTGTTTAATTACTCCACATTATAGCTATACATATCACAATGTAAGCAGGTATACTAAGTTATCAAATAAAATATTTTTTTTGATGTTATAGTCGTATCATGGGTTTCGCCCGATGATATGAAGAGAACTGAGAATGTTCAATAGCAAGGCATTTTTCATTTTTTTAATTATTCTTTTCATAACAACGCCACTTTAACGAATAAGTAACAATAAATTGACTAGATGTGAAAATAACATACGTATTTATTTACTACGGTTTAGTTACATATTTCGATTTAAATATGTAACCGATTTTTTAGTTTTGGATATTAATACTCAGATTTTTTAAGGGAGACGTGAAGGTATTGCAGATACCTCTTTTTTTAATCAGATAGGATGAGATTATGAGATTATTATAATTTATTGGTGCAGTAGCTATTTTTTCTTGTAAAAATTGTGATATTTTTATTGAATTATAAATTTTTTTAAGTGTAAATAATGGAAAGAAAATAATATTACGGCGAGAAAAAAATTCGATTAAAATTAATTATCTATTTATGGCTTTGTATCTGTTAAATTTTAGGGTAACTTTACCGGCAGCAGTCTTTAGTACCGCCCCAGCTTCTTCGCTTGGGACGTTATCCACACTTTGACCATTTACTGACACTAGTAGATCACCTTTCATTATTTTACCATCAAGATCTGCTATTCCTCCACTTAACTAATTCAAATAAATAAAAAAAATCGATTAATAGACGAGTGTTTAAGGAAAAAAAAATACTTACAATTTCGGAAATATAAACACCTTTTTTATCCTTTCTTGCTATCACACTTAATCCTAAACCTTTCCCTGGTTTTTTAACCAAATCTGTTTCGATCGTTTGATAATCAAGCTTTTCAGGGCGATAAATGGTAAGTTTCATCTGCAAACAAAATTTCAATTTTAATAAAAGCTACATGATTTAGTAGATTAAATAACATCAAAGAGGAATTTTAATCGACTTTTTTATTAACCCTTTGTAACAATACATATTTTATTTATCAAAGTGCCAAATATTTTTATTAAAACTGTTTATTTTTTTTTTTTGGGGACGTCAAAGTGGATTAAAACTCCACGTGGATAGAGTAGTTCACTGGGAATCACTGCCGGTCCTAATCCTGGATAAAAGAGAAGGGTTTACAGGTAAGCTCGGATATACAGAGTGGTCCATTTAACGTGAGACAAGCGATTATCTCGAAAACGGTTTATTTTACATAAAAATGAAACACCACCCTACATTTCAATAAGAATAAGTGTACCTAAGCACACATTTGACCGAACGAGAAGGCAACCTGTCAGGGCATTCAAAAATGTATCTACGAGGTAGCAGAGGAAGCCAAAAACATCAAACCCAGGTTTTGGGAAGGGATTAGAAATCTGGCAGTGCTAAAAAAGGTTATAAAAAGAGAATATTGGGATAATATCTCCCGAACCTGCAATATATCTAATGAATTGCTCAAATATGCAGGAACATAACTAATAGAAAAGCTGACCCAATTATTCAACAGAGAGATATGCCAGTCAGAAATATCAATGGAATGGTATAACAGTATAACAATCCCTATATTTAAAAAGGCGAAACAGCTAGTCTAAAAATATATACAGAAATAACTCTTCTAAACATATCAATGAAGTAAACATATCAACTGCTTGGAAGTGTAATAAAAAAGCTAAAAAATCTTATTACCAAAGAACCACAAGACTTTTGAAAAGTTCGTTATGAAACATCTGAATTAAAAGTCCATAAGTTCAACACACCTGCATATACTTACTTACAAAGTACAAATGGGAGTGTACTGAATCTCACACAAAGAGGTGCCCCAGCTGATATCATAAATATAATACATAAATTAAAGACTAACAACACGACCACACGCGTTTGCATCAACATAATATGCAACGCTAACGACGCTGCAATAATTCAGCACAGGTTCTATCAAGCGAGGGAAGCAGTGAATATAACTGTCTCTACTTCAAAGACTAAATGTAGTGGTAGCAAAGAAAGTCAACAAGACGTAAGCTGGTAATCAACAACAGGTGTACAATTCTCAAGTACTCACGATTCTGCAAAAGCAAGAGGATTCAGATCTACAAGCGTCGGCAATTATGAGAGACAAACAAAATTAAGTGCATGTTAAGAGTAGCAAAAATGAAGACCAGATGGGATAGAATTAAGAACTCCGACGTCAGAAACCAATAGGTTTTGGCACAAAGAGATCACCAGATCACCAAAGAGATGGAGAAATAGCTGACAGTCAACTACTCAGTTGAGGAAAAAGAAAAAGAAAGATTATAACATTGACTTACTTTTGGCAGTGTCTGTCTTAATGCTTGTGACGCTGTTGTATGCGTAACGTCTTTAAGAAGTGTCCCGTTAACTTCCATGATTTGATCACCCGGTTGCAATCTTCCATCTTTTTCAGCCACACCACCTCCATAAACTTCGACAATAATAATTCCTTCCTGAAATAAGAAAATCAATAAAAAATCATTTCTTTACGTAATCGTAAATGATTATTATGACGTTTTGCTACACTGTTAATGATCATGTAATATTCCCAATTAGTCAATTCATCGCAAGTAATCTTTCAATAATTAAACTTATATGTATGTTTAGACATAACAAATTATTAAAAGGAAATAAGAATCAAAGTATTCTGATATGAGACTAAATTAATTAAAAACTTAATCAAAATAATAAATTACCGGCGTTGGAGTGTCTTTTCCTCCAATAAAGAATATCCCCAAAACCTTGTTTTCAGTCGTTATTTCCACCTGGGTATCTTTACCTGGTATAATAGGGCAAGTTGTTGGATCGGCATGAACTTCTGCAAAAAAGCCACGAAGTAACTCATAAATCTTCGTAACTCATAAAACTTAAAAAGTTTTTTGAAAACATTCTGAATAATTATTTTATATTTACCCGGTACAGGTGTTGTAGGTCTGGAAGGTGTAGCTGAAGGTTTTAAAGCTGATTTTGCAGAAACGTTGTTAGCTGTTAAACTGTTAGGAACATTGGCACCGACATCATTAGCCACGGCACCGTCAGGCGTTGTTGGTTTCTTCGTTGGATTGGAAACTATCAATGTAACCAATCCTTCCGTTCTTTTTAATAACGTGGCAGCCTAAGAAATTTTAATTAATTAAACAATTATTTTATAGGATAAAAGATTTAAAAAAAAAAGATTTCTATTCAAAAAATTCTAATCTATTAAAACTATTTTGTATATGGTGAGTTTTTCTAACCTGCATAGCGCGAATAGGCTATATTATGTACAATTTGGATGAGGCTACTAATATCTATGTTTGCACACGTTATCTTTTTATCAAATTGAGAGTCAGATAATAAAAAAAAATGGCGAGGGAAATTTATTTAATTATAAGAACCAATCATATATAACAATAATTATGTATTTACATTCAGAAATATTTCTTTTTCGCTTTAGTTTCAATGTTGACCTTACTTAAATTTTTTTTCTACTTTTATCGAAAGATAGAATCTGACGTGGATCATTAATCGAGTTCACTTTTCGTTTGGGTCAATAAAAAGCAACCAGATCATCAGATAATGGACTCGATCTAATGGTAAACAAACTCCGAGGCGTTATCACACCGAGAACATTCACGTGCGGCTAACAAATTCTCGCTTCGCCAATCATGCGACGTTTACAACAGCACCACACACAAAACATGATCAATAAAATAAACAGTTAAATAATAACTAAATAAATTAGAAATAAATAAATAAACTAATAATAAATTTTGATTATTATACTTACGTTATCGTAGTTTGACCCGAGAAGTGGCTCTTTATTCACCGCCAGGATCATTTCACCAATTTCAAGTCCTGCCTTTAAATGGTCAAAGAAAACGAAAACAAAAAAAATAAATAAAAATAAATGTATATTGCAAGTTTACATAATTTTTGAAACATATACACCGAAGGTGTTTTTTTTACTTTTACATCGATACCTTTCCCATCATAAGATGTACAAAATTGTGATATTTTTTGATCTCTATGAACTATCAATTTGTTAAGACTTTGATATATTATGGAAGTTCAAAGCCCTGCATGTTTGAGTCAAATTAAAAAACGTTTGAAAAAATCAAATGATCTTTACAGTATAACCCTAACATATCATTGTATCCCACAAGAATTCCAACAAAGTAATATGTGAACTTTATAACATTATACGTAATGAGAAGAACGTGGAGGGTTATACAGATACACAAATCGAAGAACTCAAAGTTAACTGCTTTGCTGATGATAATGGGTTTGTTTAGCACTAACCAATAAATGAGATTTGAGTACTAAGGACGTTTCCACTAAAGAAAGTCACTGGGAAATTGATCCGATAACTGAAGTTGACGAAGATAGTTATCTCAAAGACAGTTAACAATGCAGATCACAGATATTCAGGAAAATGTTTTGAATGGGTAAATTAAGATGGAGAAAAGAGGAAGAAAGTCTAGCATAATGATTTTTTATTTGCCAAACTCATTCCACATAGACTTTTTTCAACAACTGTCATGCAATTATTGAAATTTGCATTATTTTACCAACTTTAGCCTGTTCAGTACTCAATATTGGAATATTTTTTGGAATGTACTTGAAACATATCCCATCCCAGTGTTCCATTAGCCTCATGCTCTCATGCTAATGGAGCAATAATAATATAACGCCTCCCCAAGTACTGTTCACTGCAAAGTACGGTATTGTTCTTTAATTTTGGTTGAATGTACAAAACGGAAAAAACAGAACAAAAATGGAGTAAATTATGTTTGGCACTGTTGAAGTTCATTGTTTTTTTTTGGACGGATGATTTCATTATGTTTTCAATAACATCTTTATTGTATGTGCAATATAATATTGTTATTCCCGTGCCATAATCCCCAAAAAGATAAGGATTATTTGTGTAATATGGGTATTAGTTTAGGTTTAAATGTACATTGCAAATATTGTTTCAACAAAAACTAATAGTCGGCCACCTCAATAGATGTGTTGTTATCTGCGGCTGAGTATTGGTAGAAATAAGTAGTATATTTAGCCCTGATTGGTAAAGAAAATGAATTTTATTGTATAATCTGCAGATTATTATTTTTTATTTTTCCGAAGCCTATATTGCAATATCATGAATATAAAATAGCGCAACCTATGTATGCAATAAAAAATAATAGGAAAATTAGAGACGCTGCCAGAATGTATGGTGTTCCTCGTGGAATACTTCATAATAAAGTTTATCGTCGAGTACCTAAGAACCTCGACCACTTAGGAAGTAAGAAGGTCCCAACAAAATGGTGTCCAATTTTGTCGTGTTCAAAGTTGAGGAAAAAAAAATTGCTGGGTGGCTCATTGCCCTTGCAATATGAGGATTGCTACTAAAGCCTCACAATGTTATTTTATTGCCATAGTGGTAGATAGCAGGGCGAATCCGTTTATTATCTTGAGATCTGAGAAGAAATGATTACAATCTTTTTCCAGAATGTTGTATGAATGTTGTAAACAGTATGTTTGATGGCTGATTTCTTGATAAATCCGATACCGGGATGAATACTTCCAGATTAACTTGGTAATATCACACTAGAGTCTGACTTGATAATGACTTATACTGCATTGTTGTTTCTGGAAACGCTCAATTAATCAACTAACTTGGTTTGTTGTCATTAGGAGAGTAAGGACTAATAGATGTTGACGGTGGTAGTTTTAGCTAAATTCAAAAATTTTCGATGGTGTTAGATATTATTTTGGATAATTGCAGAGAGGGAGAAAGATATGTGTAGAGAGAGAGAGTTTAAACATATTCATTTTAGGCAATAATATATTAGGTCTTTTGTGTAAAGGTGCTTTTCGTACTAGTTGGTAGACAATGTCAGATTTGGATATTTTATCGTTGTTTAGGATCGTCCCTTAACGTTGCTAATGGTTAATTGCATCAATTAGATTCGATCTTAGTTTTTGTGGCTTTGACAACACCGGTACTAATCAAAAGCACTAGTCAAATCTAATAATGCCAAAGCAGTATTTTCTCAGGCGTCGACTTCACTAAGGACTTCAATAATTACATCAAACTGAGGTGTAAGTGTGGTTTCTGAGAAATCAGGATTGGTTTTCGCAATATTATATCCCACATTTGTAAGTATAGGTCGATGATTGATGAGTTCATAGAGATTTTTGATTTTTGAAAAATGAATTCATAAGGTTTTTTTTATTAGTTAAATATCAGACTCCAAGCAGGAGTTTATAATAAAGCATACATAACGAAGAAATCATATCTGTAGACTTTTAGAGAGCAGAATGAAATCGAAAGAAAGATTGTTGCCTACTATTTTAGAGAAATACTTAAGTTACAAGATTTCTCGTAGACTTTCTATTTTGGAATATGAAGATAGTTTATGTGAAATACAGCTGTTTGCATAGCTGTTGTATATATGGAAACTTTATACTTGTGTATTTATGTGTAAAGTTTTTGAATGGGCCAAAACCAGTAAAAGTAATAAGCTGTGGCATATACAATGTTAAATATGTTGAATTGCTAATTATAGCTATCAGGAGGAAATACTACTTGATATCATTTTGCCATAACTTGTTCTTATTAGAATAACCCTAACTATAACGCATAAACTGCAATACACAATTTCATTCTCGGAATTGAAGCAAAGATATCGATTCTCAAAGTAAAAAAAATCATTGTATCCAATAATTAGTAATCCAATTTGTTTCACCAAAATTTGTAAACTTGTTTTTTATTCATCCATTTCTTTTAATAATCTTACCTTTTCGGCTGAACTACCTTCCTGAATATCCGAAATGAAAATCCCTTGTCCTACATCTGTGTGCTTTCCCTCTATTATCATTATCCCCAAGCCTTGTGGGCCCTTTGCATACAGAACAGAAAGAAAGAATCATTAAGGTAACGAATTTGATCCATATTTTGCATTTATTTAACTTATTATTGATAATTTTATTGGTGTAAATTGGTGTTTGTGTGTGATGGCTCTAATTTTCTAAAAAAGCTTGTTTTTGGCGTGTTGTTTTTTTTGGAAATTTAAAACTTATATTATTATTTAATAGGAGTGTATTTACACATTTTGATAAATTTGGGGGGTTCTTTTACCTTTTTTACAGTGATGGTGCGCACATTCGGGTAGGTGTTAAAATGTTCCTCGGACGCCTGCAGAAAAAAAAAGAAAAACAAAAACAACCAAAAAAAGAAAACCTCAAACAATCAAAACGGCGTCATGCGTCGTACTCCTCTTTCATTAATAATAATAATAATAAAATCTTACATCTTACACACGTAAATATAAGCAGCCAATAAAAGATAGTGATAAAAACTCAACATTAATAACAAGCACCTTTTTTATTTTTAATTTTTAAATAATAACATTTAAAAAAAATCTAATCAATTTTAACCTTTTCACTAGTCACAAAACTTTTCCAGTAACTCGTTTATACATAATTATAATTATTATATGTATACGAGAGATAGTGGTAAAAAAGAGATAGTAAAAAAGTTAAAAAACATCACGTCACTTTTTTTCTTTATTAATTTTAAGTATTTTTTTTACAAAATAACTCGAATACCTTCGTTTCATAACTTTTGGTTGCGAGGAAATAAGTACACGGTAATAATAAGCAGGCGCACATACTATTTTATTCCTGACGAATCGAATTCGAGAGTAATAATCGAAAGAACCGAAAAGTTGAACGTACGATGTTTGAGTATAAACTACGGTTATAATATCAACCTCGAACTGACGTCTTATCAGGAGCCGAAACATTTTCAACATTGCGACTATTACCGTTTTTATCTGCATTACCATACAAACAATAATAAATAATAAAGCGCTGCGTTTTGAATAGGTAAAGAATGGCATTTTTTGTTGCCAAAATTATTGTTGTATAAAAATTAAATGAAAAGAGACATGTAAATATTATACGATGTGAACAGAACCGGACTAACTTTATTAAATTTTTTTTTGCAAAAAGAGATAAAAAAAAATAGAAAGCAATGAATTAATTTTAAAATATGGTTACTTTGAGTATTTTTTTGGAACAAATTTAATAATGACTCTGGAGTTCGGAGGAACTCAGATTGATATACACCAATCAATTATAGATTTAAAATTTTGTATTCTAATTTCACTATATCTTCTTACAATTAGTCATCGAAGTTATAAAAGGTTATCAGTATATTAAAAAATGCATCTCGTGCAAGCACTTGTAATAAATAAATACAATTTCTTTAGTTTCTTGAACTGTCTAAATTGAACATGATCTAACATGATCCAAATGCAGTATCAAAACCTATGAATTTACATCCTTGTTAAATTTAATCTTGATAAGTTCTATTAAACGTTTTCAAACGAATTTTTAGGGCAAATTTTCACACGGTATATTTGTATCTTTATGATAAAGCTCTCCTACGCTTTATCTTTTAATATAATACCCATAGTGCATGGGTGAAATCTTTGCAGTGAAATTGTGTGGCAATAAATCACCGTGACAGAAAAATTTCGCATTTCTACCACTCTAAGTCGACGCATCTAATTTATTTTGCCTATTCTACACAGTTTCAGCAAAATATCAAATAATGTGTTTAACATAGCAAGATTTAAAGTTGAGTTAGGTTAGTTTTGTTTAGAAATGTAAATCAACTCTGACAAAAATATTGCGTAATGTTAGGATGGGTCAGTTTTGTTTTGAATCCCAATTACAGCGTGAAGGAATGTCGGTTTTCTTTTGTACCCCAATTAGAGCGTGAAGGAATGTTAGGATAGGCCAGTTTTGTTTTTGCCTCTCAATCATCCCGGAAAAGAATGTTCGGTAAGGTTAATTTTTCATAGTTTTAGAAATTCATTGTAAAATTTTATACAGTTTGTGGATAGGGCCAAAACAAAAGACGATAGCTGTTCGATGCTTTTGGAACTAGCAGTTTTTTGAAGAACGAGATCATGATGCGTAGCTACTTTTTTCTATATCTTGTAGTTTCAGAGATAACCTATGCCGATGTCCAGAATTTAGATATAATATAAAACTATATTCCTAGACTTTCCATATTAATGATCCTTATTGCTAACTTTAGAGGGAACCAAAGTATACAAAATCGCATAAAGTAAAAGATATTTCTAAAATCAGTGAAAGTTTTGGAAAGTCTTTCCTTGCACAGCATAAGATAGTCTGTGGATAATTCGAGAATATGGGTAAAAATGTTGTTGAGCATGATTTTATAGTGAGCAATGTTTTTTTTTTTATTTTGCAAATAAAATTAACTTATTTATCCAAATATCGATGTGGTAATTAATGGATCACGCGACCAATAATCTTCTGTTTTAAGTTTTTTTTTGATGTGAGACATAAGTAGGTATACTCAAGGCAAAAACTATATCAAGTTATTCATTTATATCTGTCCATCGTTGTAGTCGATAGAATTATTCTGAATGTATGTAAAATACCGATTACTCTCTTCAACATCCTAAATTGATGTAAGTAAAATAATTTAGGAGTGACACAAAATCCTTCTTGTTCCATCGAAATTTTTTTCTGCTGTCTTTGTTTTGTATCGACTCTTCATCGTCATCTGAATCGCTTTCTGTTGTTCAATTTCTGACGTTATTTGCAGAAATAGTGAGTTCTGTAAATAGAGAACGATGATGTTAACATCGTTTGTGGACAATCTTCACTCTCACTGCCACTTTCCATCCATATTTTATAAAATTTGTCGTCGGTGTAATACTTTTTTGACATTTTTATTTCAAATGTGTGTGTGTCTTGTAAACTGTAATTTTGATATAATGAAGTAATAATGAATATTTTGTCAATACATCCGTCTAGAGCAGTGAAAGAGTTGACATTGTAATAAGGAAGAGGTTTTAATCATATCTAGTTTATTTATTTTTATCATAAGATAACTTTTTTTAATACTTGAAGTTGGTAAAATATTAAAAACATCGTCTAACTTTTATGAACGGCAATTAATTGGCAATTTATATCTCAAATTAAAGTTAAAGCAATTTGTTTTAAGATAAACGATAAAAACCTGGGGATTAATAATCCAATTAAAAATTGTTAAAGGGGCTAATTTATTCAGTTTTAGACGAATTTGGAAGTTTTAAACAAAATTGTCAACGTATTTTCCAGTATTATTACAGAAAAAATTAGGTAAATTTCATTTCGAGATAATTTAACAAACAAATAAATTTTCGCTGTCGACTTTGTTAAAAAAAACTGTAAAAACTGATAAATTCTGAACAGCAGTTTCAATATTAGTTCATTTTCAACGATTTTTAATTAAAGTTTCCAGCGAGTTTTCGTTAATTATGATGATTTGTTATTTTGATAAATTTGTACTAATTTTAAATGGAAACTCTTATTAATTAAACTTTCTATTCACAATTTAAACTAAAATAGAATTGTTTTTTGAATTTACCGCTCAAAATGAAATTTGATTGATTTTAAATTGAAATTGAATTATTTCGATTAATTTAGTGAATGTTATGCGCGATAAATTAATTTATAAATTTTGTAATTGAATTTATCTGTAATAATTAACCATCCAGAAAGTTTGACACGTAATTATAGCAAAATATTTATGTGCTTGCAATGTCTTGTTTGCCGTTTTTATCGATCATAAAATCACTCTATTTTTAAAATTAATTACTTCGCTAAATGTAAGCAATAAAACCTTTAATAAAACGATGATCAAAATTTATTTATAGAAGTTTAATTTTAAATTATTATAAAATTCGCTTCAAATATCAAAGAGATGTCCAAAAGTTTCGATATTAAATTTAACAACCATATTATTTTATTGGTAAAATCCAAATAAATTTTCAACTATCCAATTAGCTGCTACGAAACGTATTTTTAGTATTAACGAGGGAATTACGTTTTCTCGATAGCAGATAGCAATTATTGAATTAAAAACAATCAAGGTCTTTTTACTTACCACTTCAATTTTTGCGAGGCTAGATATCCTTTTGATCAATTTCATTCTCGTTCAATCATCTTTCTTTTATTTCAAACTAAAAACTGTGTGAAATAAGCTTCGATTTCTACGAACGCTTCATTTGCGAACCTAATTACGTTTGTTATCTCGTCCTTGGTCAAAACAAATAAATCGGCTTTTTTTAAACAAATTGTCACGTTCCTCTCTCTCTAACAAACTTTTTTATACTACAATAATTTGTTTGAGATCCAATTTTTTTTCTACGCTTCATCAACAGACCGTTTCTAAAGATTTGCTCAATGAACGATGGAATATATTGAATAAATCAAATGAAATCTCTAATAATAAGGAGTTGTAGCGAGAAAATAAATTACGCTGGTTCATAAAAAATGTATTTTATAAAAGGGCGAAGGTTTGGTTTTGTGTGGTAAAATGATTATTTAATGATGTAGACTTCACTTTGCGTATAACAGTAGGGTTTGTGATAAAGACCATTTGGGTTTGTCGAAACGAGTAAATATTTATGTTTCAGTAGAACCGGAAACTCATAAAAAATTTAATGATAGGCAGAGGACGACGAGGGAAATGTAATTTCGTAAAGTGCGCTTAAAGTCGAATTTTGTATGTAAAGCTACGCACGTAAAATCTATAAAAAAAAGAGTGGTTTTAAAAAATTTACGTCCTTGAAGTGCTAGTGAAAATAAAATAATTTATTTTAATTAGTAATTGAATATGTATACATCCGGTCGTAAAAAACTAAAGAAAAAAAGACTTCATGAAAATAGAAAGTTTTTTAATAGTTTTAAAATGAAGTAATTATTTGAGTTTTGTGTAAATGTATTAAAAAGGAAAACTAAAAACAAAATAAATACAGATTTTATTTAAAATTATAATATTTAAACTTTTGTTTAGGGAAAATTTATGTGTTGAAAATTTATTTGCATTTCATACTTACAATAAACAGCGCGTGAAAGCAATTTAACGATAGCTGGGTCTAGCTGAGTAAACGATGAACAGTGAATGCTTTTTGGTTGTAAAGTACAAAAATATATCATCTAAATCGTACTGGTGTTCGCACGATCTTTGCACTACTCGATCTATCATCAACTCGAAACAAACTAAAATCGAACGTCTATGATTTTAGTACTTAATGTTTTCAAAACATGATGATTCACTCTTTATAGTCTAGAGACTTTATAGGCTAGAAAAGTTGTCGAAGTTAATTGCTTTAGAAATACTGAGGGATATTAGATATTCAAAAGTATCATTTTATGAAAGTCCTTATTAGTTTTAGTTTTGGAAAATCTTTGACACTTTTATAGGAAATTACAAAGAATACTACAATATCGGATTCCATCTAATACTAAATAAACAAGTAGTTAAATACATAGGATTTAGATAAAGTAGAAACAATTCCGGAAAAGAATAAAGCTTTGAGCTACAATTGATGTGAAAAGCAAGTACGCTAAAAACTCATGGTAAATATGGTGCGACGCCTGAAAAGAAACATAAAAGTGTGTTGTAAAGAACTGAATTTAGTACTTAGTTCAAAATTATGGTGTTAGCGATGATATTTTTTACAGGTGTAGTTCTGGCAGATGTGACATGGAATCAAAAGTTAACGTTGCATAATGAGACAAAACATAAAATAATTACATCTATTCCACATCCTGAAAAATCTTGTCTTTGGAGAAACCAATGTACTTGACTTATCCTTTGAACGAGATTACCTGTTTCTAGCTGTCCCAGGGCATTTTGTGAGCCTATACCTCGCAGCTTTGTGGAAATTACGTGCATAGATAGATATTACTATCAGTTTGCATTTTCTTGACTTAATTCTACTATAATGTGACACAACATAGTTATGATTTTCCCGGAATTAACACATCTGGACTTTAGGTGTTCTTGTAGCTTATGCTTACTAAGTAACATCGCTTAAAAGTATTTGATGATTCTTGACGCCCTTGAGACGTAAAATTCGATAGTTTTCCGGGTTTTTGCTTGATAACTTTAAATTTGATGCTTTTTGGTGATTGGTCCTATTTTTAGAGTACGGTAGTTTATCCATTGTATTGCCAATCTCAGCGGCAAGACGGAATTTTTGAGCTTCCCAATTTGAACTGGTTTTGGTGTTGAACTGACTCCACTTGGTCACCTTTTTCGTTACTTGCTAATAGTACGTACGTAGGTGCTTTGATCTCTTAGGTACACCGGATAAGTACAGCAATGATTTATTCATTAGTTATTTTTCAAAGGTGAGTGTTTATAAAGCTTTTCATTCAATTTATTTACTCTAAAAATATACGATGACATGACTATGTGAGACCAGATGGTATAAATTGGGACGCCTACTTTAAGCAGTAAAAGATAAATCGAACTTCCTGAAAACAAGAGAAAGAACAAGAGAAGGAAGAAAGTAGTTTTGTAATGGTGTCCGCATCAGAATGACCATAAAGGACGTATTTAGAACTACCTTAACGGTAAACTATCCAGAAGAATTGAATGCAGCCTTTATACATAAACTATACATAGAACGGGAAACAGAAAAAACTGCGACAATTACGAAGACATAGCATTGACGGTCACGCTATATGATGTATATGATAAGATCCTCGAAAACAAAATAGGGCTAAAGATATGGCAGCAAAGGAGACGACCATAATAAAAGCAGTAAGAAATGTATACCAACAAGAACAGCTAAAATCAAGATGGGCAGAAACTGTCGAATGGCTTCCACATCACTAAAGGTCTCAGGCTGGGGTGCTGCATGTCCTCGACCTTCTTCAAAATATATCTAGAGTTAGCACTAAAACAGACAGCATTATCTACACTCTATTTTTCGCTCAAATACGACCTAATAGTAATCGCACCAGCAAGATAATATATAATATACAGGGTGTTTCGGTGACTCGGGGAACAAATTTAACCACATATACTAGAGTGAAAATGATAACGATTCATGTAAAAAAAATTAGTAAAATTCTTCAAATTTCAAAGATACAGGCCATCGAAGTTAAGAAATTTTAACACATTTTTCCAAATATCTTAAATACTATTTACAGTAAAGCGCTGAAATTTGGTACAGTATAAATTAATGTGATGTAAAATCGTTAGGCAATTTATGAGTTGGATCTTTTCCGGGAACAATACTATACAGGTGTTCCTAAAGTTTGTTTGCTCAGAACTTTTTTATTCCATCATAACCCTACATTTATTTTTGCAGTTTCTAATAGTAAATTTAGTTTAGAAACTTTTATTACTCTTAGATAATATTGATAAAAATCACCGTTTTTTGTGTTAAATGCAAAAATGTTGGGTTCCGATTTCAATAATAGCACTAAAAAAAAAGAAATCTAAGTTTTTGAACATTTCCTTTAGTATTTTTTATTACTTGTCTTGTAATTTTATGTACCTTTTTATTATTCCTGTTAGTGTTGTCGTTTTTTTGTTTATTTTTTGTTGATTGTTAATTTATTGTTTTTGCATTCTTTTATTAAACCAACTAAAACAAATTGAAAATGTGATTTAGTTAAATCTTCACTTGGACATGTTGCATACATATTAGTTATGACAGCTCAGTTCGATTTTCACTTGTCATTGCTAATTCAGATTATTTATTTATTTTTTTTTTAGTGTTATTGAATTCGGAACCTAACATTTTTGCATTTAATACGAAAACGGTGGTTTTTATCAATATTCTCTAAGAGTGATAAAAGTTTTTAAACTAAATTTACTATTAGAAACTGCAAAAATAAATGTAGGGTTTTGATAGAATAAAAAAGTTCTGATCAAACAAATTTTAGGAACAGCCTGTATAGCATTGTTCCCGCGTACCGATCCAACTCAAAAATTGCCTAGTGATTTTACATGATATTAGTTTACACTATATCAAATTTCAACGCTTTACCATAAATAGTGTTTAAGATATTGAGAAAAATGTGTTAAAATTTCCTAACTTTGATGGCCTGTATCTTTACAATTTGAGAACTTTTACTAATTTTTTTTTACATGAATCGTTATCATTTTCACTCTAGTATATATGGTTACATTTGTTCCCCGAGTCATCGAAACACCCTGTATAAGATAATATATAAGAATACAATGTGGCCTGAAAGATAATATACATTATCTAAGTATAGCAACTTATAACAAGTATGGCAACTTATAGGAAACATAAAAAAAATCCTGAAGGCAACAGAAATGGATTACGAACGAAGGGTTGCAGGTAAATCGAAAATAGAGCCAGGCCATACTTAATGTTTTTTTTTACAAAACCTGAAAGTAGGAGGAAATATAACAAGTAATGAATTTTTATTTGTTGCCATACATTTAACTCTCTCGCATTTTAAATTATATAGATTGATACAATTAACAAACTGTTCGTCAGAATAATTGATTTGTATTTGAATGGCGTCTCGGAGTGTTGAAGTAGAAGTTGCAACACTAATGATCATTGTTTTGTGCTCCATAACATTTATGTTAAATGACTTGATGCTGATGGAGAGAAAGCGAAACGGGCAGTTTCTAATTAATTTTTTATCTATTCTAATTATTTTTGTAATTTTACTCAAAATATCATATTTTAGCTTTACTTTAAGATATAGTATTCGACGTTATTCCTGAAGACTCTTTCTAAATTATTGCGAACCTAATATAATTAAATATACTCATCTAAAGCATAAAATTTAATAAAATTAATCGGCAATTTTCAATGAAAATAATTGACATTTTAATAAATAATTTAAAAAACTTTCCATTTGATATTCTAATCATTATGAATTTTTTTATTAACTCAACAAAAAGAAAATGTCATACAAAATAATTCATATTTTCGATTTTGTTTGAAGTTCTGCCAAAGATACTTCATTGCAACACTAAAATATGGTGTTTATTATCCATTAATTTATCATTATTGCGTTGTAAAAAGTGAAAATATGATTTCCTGAAACATAAATTCTGAACAAGCAGTCTAAAAAGAAATCTTAAAAAAAGAAACATTAAAAAAATGTCACAATAACACTTCAATTCTTCAATGCGCAATTAAAATCTATTATTAACATAACAAATATTAATCGCCGATTGTATTCGAATTTTATTTTTTTTAATTTAATCAAAATGATTACCTTGTTACATAAACATTTTCCGGTTGAACTAAATAGACCTTCAATGGGGCACATTAAATAGTGAAGACACCTATTTAAGCACCGAGAGCGTTTCAGCAACTCTTAACACAATCACAAAGCCAAAAACTAAATAAATGCACGCACACGTACATACACACAAATATTAAAACAATATAATCGAGACATATATGTTGTTATTTATTTTAGTTAAAATTTCCGCACGATAAAACAGCAGCAATAGTTTAACATTATTACTGGTCGAGGCTCATTTTGCAATTGTGGCTAACGTGTTGAGCCTACTATAATAACTAACGCTATCTTGCGGACGTTTCTATATTTAAAAAACCAAATTATTCTAAGAAAAAAATTTTTCGAAAAATTTTCCAGTTTAATCCTCGCAACCGAAATAATAAAAATATTATTTTAATGATATTTAAATTTTTGATTTGTTGAAAAGCGTGCTCGGCGTGTTATTAAATTTAAAATAATGAGTAAAATAATGCGAAGATAATTTTTAATTAATTAAAGAAAAATTAGGCGGTTAAATCTAAAGGAAAGGTGTTGTGAACTTACCTCCTCGGCCAACGAAACTGGGAACTGCGTGATGGGACGAACGGCAATGTCATCGATGGCTGCTTTCCGTCTAAAAATATAAGAAAAATAAATATCCCGGTATAAACTATTTACGTTATAGAGAGTTTAGTGGTTCAAGGTATGTATACACTTGACGTTATGTTCCTGCTTGGGTCGGCGTCAAGTGGAAGCTATACTAAAAATGTTTTAAATAAATCTGAGTCACATATACAAAAAGGAATTTATAATACTCATTAAAGAAAACGTCACAAGTTTATATACATTACACGAGTACATAAAACGGGCTTTAAGGTAATATTTACTGATTTTTAGAAACGATTTATTATTAATTAACAAACTAGTATTCTTAATATATTGGAGTTATTCCAAAACTTTCTGAGAAAAATGCTATAATAAACTAAATATGGCGATTTTGAATTGATGTTTTAATATTATTAGAGTACTTTATTCGAAAATTTCAAAAATAGACTTAGTGGTTAATATATTTAGTTTTATTAATTTAAATTGAAAGAAATGCTAAGTAAGTTTAGCCCCGGAAGAAGAAAAATCTGTTGTATTATGGTGAAATGTCATATTGTTCTTATTTTTGAGCTGAAGACTGCGAAATGTTGATTAGAATTGTTAGTATATTTATATGCAGTATCTAAAGAAGGAAGAAACACAAAGTATAACAACATAAAGTATATGTGAACACACCACGTACTGGAAAGCAACGTCGAAAGTTCACTCAAAATGTCAAGAAAGCCACATGATCAACACGGACACGAAGCACGGGGCATTGTTTTTCATAAAACGTTCAGTTTACGATTAATTTTCTGGATAGCGCACGGTTTTGTTTGTTACAGCGTTTATTTTACGATTGACTTTTGTGTCATTAGCTGCAATAGTTTTTTTTTTAAATAATGCATACACACAAGTAGACCAACGAATACGACTACTACAACAACGATTATAGTTGCAAATAATTAAAATTACCACCATGGATGAAAAATATTAGTAAACACGATTAAAGAAAAAGAAACCTATTACAGAAGATTTAAATATTAGGAAAAAGATCACCATCGGGTGATGTACGGTATGGGCACCACCATTAATTCTTCTCCTGTTTGAACTTTTTTGTTGTAGTGGCACAACTTCACAGATGAACTAATAGTTCTTCAGAAGAAACTAAATATACGACATGACATACCCACCGAAAAGAAGATAGATGGTACGATCAAAAAGTTACTTTGGTAAACCAACCACACAAAGCTAAAGCTAAGTGTTCTATTAGAGAAAGAGAAGAGCTCGCAAAATGACCATGAAAAGTGTGAACATTGCAGCTATCACTATGATCATATTTCAGTTCATCCATAATGCTTCATAAACTAAATAGTTTTAAATTCTGCTTCAAACTAATCAAATATCGAATTCATGATATAATATGATATTCATAAAACAACAAATAAAAGTTTGTTGACCTATTGAAGACTCGATACAAATATGCAACCTACCAAGTTGCTACATTTGCTATATAACATTTATGCCATGTCATCAACCTCAACATGGTTCCACCTAGTAAAACAGTATTTCACGTCTTTAATACAAATTAGTGCAATCAACTATAAATTTTTCTGACTGCATCCACTTCATCCGCCGTTTATCAGACACAATCGATGCTGCATTATCAGCAGATTGAACGCATAGAGTTTATGTTAAATGGTCATCTAGTCGTAAATGTCTATAATTACTTGACGTTCCTATTTTATAACGTTTTTGCAATAATAGGATGTAATAAGCTCATGAGTAACACAATGGGTCGCATAATATTTTAGTTAGAAAATAAAGAATGATTTACTACATAAAATGTGTTACAAATATAACCTTTTAAACTCATTACGTGCGGAATGTATGTTATCAGGTGTTCAATCAATTACGTAACCGATCACCCAATTAATTTGGGGTTGCCGAGATCGCGATTTATATTTTATAACCTGAACTACAACGCTCCGATAGGAAAATCGATTGTAATCTTTTACGACCAACGAGTATACTATGTCTTTGACTGAGCTGACGAAAACGAGATCACTTGTGATCGAGAGGCTAAAGAGATAGCTTATTATATGTAGATATAAATCTATAACCAATTATAAGTAATTTTCATAACTGGTTACTCAAATAAGTTTGGTTATATCTGATCGTGTTTTAGCTTTGATGACCTTGGCTATAATTTTTCGAGCAAAAATATATTTTCGCTGCTTTAATACACAATATTATTTATAATTTATTTTCTTAAACCTATGTTAACTATTTGTGAAGTATCAGTATATTGCATCTATTTTCAATGTCATCAAAAGCAGAGTGCAAGGCAAGAAATTAGCAGGGAACATTAGCAGGGATATTGCCTCCTACACAACTAGCCAGCTTTACTAGTTTTTGGAAATTCCAATTTCCCTTAGATTACTATACTCATGGTATTTTTTCATTGCTTGACTATAGAGGACAATTTTGTCCATTGTAGAGCTTCTTTTTCTGAAGCCACACTGGTGGCAAGAGGGAGATTCCTCCAAAGTTATCGCACCTCCCGTTCTTATGTATCTGGCAGATGATTCCCATTTGCCATTTCTCCGGCATACCTTTTCGTTGCCATATTACTAATTCTCCTTATCTTAGCGATTATCGATCAGCTTTCTTATATCAGACCAAATATTCCCACATTAATTTTGGCCTCAAGATATTTATTCTTCAGAAACTCAAATCCTGCTATACCTTTACGAAATGATTTCACAAAATTCTTGATTAAACCAAGTTTGATCATAAAATTATCTTGTCAGGTGTTACTAATGCTTTATTTTTGATATTTTTTTCACCCACTACGTATCCAAATCTTAAAGCCCAGTTTTGTTTAACATAATGTTCTGAACCCGCTTTGTTATCCTATTCTCAGAGAAAGCAACAATACTTCGTATAGAAATCCTAAAATTAAAGCCACTACTTTCAAATCTGTACTTATTTACCATTTAATCGCTGCGTATTTGCTTTGGTCCTGAATAAATCTTGAAATCTCACAGGTTTCTTTTAAATGAGTCCCGTACACAACAGGAAAAGATGGAAATTTACTTCCGTTATGAAGTAAAACTGCCTTTAGTCTTAGTTTTGATTTGTCAATAAATAATCTCATTCTTCTGGTAAATGATTTTGATCTAGCTTCAACATTAAATCATCAACATTGTCACCGAAAACTAAACCATGTTGTTTTCAATAAAAGCTAATTAAGAAGCAAAAGAACAAAGGAAAATAGACAAGAATATGTCACGTGGGAGAATAATATCAGTAAGGTGACAACGAAACAGGTGAAAACTATCAAAACTATCTAGGAAGTGAAGATATTGGTCTAACTAGAGGATATGGATCCATGACCAAATGCTGTAAACGCATAAATAGGATATCAAAAAGAAGAAGAAGAATAGAAAAGGTGTGAATACTTCCTAATTAGCTAACATATGCAAAAACTTTATGAAATATGTGTTTAGTTTAAGGAATGTGGCACAAGCAATGTAAGTTTTATTACAATGAACTAGACAGTTTTGTTCAAGGTAAGTGAAAAAAAGGATTTTGAGCAAAATATTTATTCCGCCTTTCTCAAATGTATCCTATAAATAACATTTTTAACTCAACACATGAATTTGCAAATAATCGTGTTGGGTTTCGCATACTAAGAGTTGTTTTATAGAACATGGATGAAGGAAAATTAATTAGTTATCCGATTTACCTTTAGACTACATAATCTTTCTCGATTACAACCTTCCTAGCTTATTCGAGGAATTATCAGTTATGAATAGTTAATCCTATTACAGCGATGCAATAAACAAACCCATTCCTAAATCTCGCCTGAACCTGCGGTAAAAGAGGAAGATCATTAACGTATACATAACAACATTAATTAGCCGCTGGTATGGTATTAGTCATTACTTTTAATTAAATTAATTACAGAAAATCTATAACGGAATTATTTGAACTATTGTCGCAGTAAATAGAATTATTAATCAGAAGTTCAATGAAATGAGCACATTTTGTCCTATACATCTTTTATAATAAAATTGTAATACATTTCACGAAAATCAAAGGTAATAGCGTTCTCGTGTCAAAAAATTGAGCGATATTTATAAACGTGTTTGTTTTTCTATTTAAGTACAAGTCGTAAAAGATTTTTAAAAAATAATAAAACGTGACCTCACATATTTTAATTCAAATAAATAAAATTTAAAATATTTAGTCAGAATGTAAACAACGTTTTAAAAATGGAAACACTTTCATTTACCGTAATAACAGGAAGTAAACAGGTAACACCATCGACATCATTTGTATTATTGAAATCACCAACAACTTATATATATCAACAACATCTTATAATCACGAAAAACGAATAATAAACACGACAATCATGAACTGCGTTAGGTGTTTTTCTCTCTTCAAAAACCTGTTTTATTCAAGGTCTCGTAAAATTTTGGAAATGGAACAACAAAATGTGTATTTTCAAGTCAAAGATAACTGTTTGGGTGAAAGTTTGTGTGTAATAATAATGAGTGGGAAGAATTAATTTGAATTAAAATGAACATTATAAATTTTTCTTCATTAATTAACACTTTCCAGGTAAGTTAGAAATTTCTAATTGCTCTAAAAATAATAAATTAAACGGTTTGATTTCAACGAAGCAATTACTGCCTAGGAAATGAACGTGAAAAATTCCGGGAAAATTTAGGTTCGTCATAAATCAATGTCCACTTTTTTTAGCGTCGTTTTTGTTTTTTAAATGAAGGCAACGTAAACGTTTATGTATGTATATTAGTGAATGTCCGCGAAAAAATTGTAAATTTAAGCGATGCGACCGACTAGAAATTCAGGCAACAATAGTTGCGGGAATGTCAGCTAGAGAAATATTGAATTACAGTTTGCCGCCCAATTTGTTACCTGTCCGCGTTAGTTTGAAATTAAAACTTAATTTGCAATTCAAATAAGCGCCCAGTTGTGAATTCAAAATGCAATTTAATAAGGTTTTGCGATTCGTTG